TTGCCAGTGATCGGCTCCGCAAAAGCGACTGGGTCGGGGGACGCGGATCGTGCGGTGCGTTTGGCCGAGGTCGCGTTCTTTGCGGTTGTTGCGAGGGTGATATAGCAGCCACGTACGGATTAGCGTTATTGATAAGTCTACCCGTACGTATCGGTCGGTCTAGATCGTTCACGATTACGCGTAAGTTATCTAAAGTACGCGGAAATCGCATTCTTACGTTACCGTAATATTCGTTACGTAACAGACTGACTATCCGATCTACAATGTGCTGCTCAGAACAACTGGGGCGTGCGCGCATCGCTAGACGTTGTTTATTTATGATAAATTCCGTCATGCGCTGATGTGGCCCCTGTTGCGTCGTCATGAGTTGGTTTTCTAATTCAGCTTGTATGCTGTTGTTATCGAACGTCGTGAGAAATTCCCTCGCAAATTGTCGCCAGGACATGTTGTTTAACTTGATGGTTTCCCACCAAGTTAATGCCATGCCCTTTAAAAATTGTACGCCCGTTTTTACCCATAAATCGCGATCTATGCCTGCTTGGGCCAATAGGCTTTCTACCTGTTCCAGAAACTCGCGTGGGTCCTCCTCATATTTTCCCGTAAACTCGGGGGAAGGGGGTCGTACACTAGGCGAATAATTAAGTGGGCCCATCGCCATGTGCGTGTGCGAACGGGTCGATGATGATGGGGACAAATCGCGTGTCGATGGCGCGAATGTGTTCGGCCCGAAGTGCCCCGTGTGATGTTGGCGCGCGTCTAAATTGAAAACCGCGTCGTGCGTGTTCGCTCGAAGAAGCGATGGTGACGTGCGCGGAGTCTGACTGGCTAATCGCTGTAGGTTTAGCGCTTTGCGCTCCTCGATTTCAGTCAGGCGCTGCTGTAGGGCCGCGTCATTTTGAGTCGTGTTGCTGGGCCCAAAAGTTACGCGGCTCGGTTCGGACAGACGCGCGTAAGTAGAACGGTTGGTTTCCGTCGTTTCTCGCGTCATCTGTGCGGTGGCGAACGGATTACGTATAGTCTCGTTGTGTGTATCGCGGCTTACAATCGTTTGTGAGAGAGATCGTATTTCTTGCGTAATGCGAGACAGTGCTCTCTCCACTTCAGACATGCGCGCATCCATACGCGTATTAAGAGATATATCGCGTAAACTTTGTCTTACTGCGCCTATCTCCTCCGTTGCGTGGGATATTGGACGCACCGTATATAAGTCATCGGTATACGCTGCGTTCACACCACCGTTAGGACAGCCGGTTGCCAGAGACCATTGTTGTAGAGATTCCTCTTCGGGATCCTCTCGCGCCAGGTTAACCGGTCGGTCCGCGTATGTGGTTGGGTCGACAGTCAGGCATAACGCGGGGACTTCGTCTACCTGAGACTCGCGTTCCGTCTCGAGCGTCTCGTAATGAAGCGGCGGGCGTTCGGGCAGAATCGCGTTCGATGGGTCTAGCCCCTCACTGCGTAAACTATTCTCCAAGACTGCCAGCATATCGCTTTTTGTCGTGGGGCCGTTTAACTGCCTATAAGCGCATTCGCGCAATAATTCCCGACGGTTCATTTGAGAGAGAGTTTTACCGGTCATAGTGAACGTTCCTTAACGTATTTATCGAAAATAAACAAAAATAAATAAAAGAAACGCACGCGCTTATTTGTTTTTGTTATTTAGAAATACGATATCGCCGATCGCGAGAATACGCGCCGTGTGTTCGCGTATGAANATACGCGCTGTGTGTTCGCGCATGAACGTCAACAATGTCGGCCGTTTGTATTATTATTATTATTATTATAGTTGTGATTGCAATAATATTGTGGTATTGCGTTGATAGTGATGTGCTATAGCACTATGATACTAAATAGTATATGGAAATGCAATTATTACGATAGCAGTCGTATAATGATTGTGGAGGTCAGAAATAATAATACAAACGATTTTATGGGACCCGGTTATTAAATGTAACGATCGCTGTGGTATGATAACGTGTATGATCACCCTACCTGCCTAGCGGTTTTATCGAAACACTTAAATGATTGTGTTCGCGGCGTTGTGCGACTCAAGGTCGTCAGTGCGCGTGTATGTATAAATACGAAATCGCCAGAAATCCACTTTTACCGTGTTTAAAAATACACCGAAGGTGGAAATCTATTACTCGCGAGGTAGATAGTATTTATATGACGGGGAGGTAATTTCACTGCTATCACCAGTGAAATAGAAGTTAAAAATATCCGTAGTACGGGAAGGTGAGGAAAATTTCGATGTCTCTTTAAAAAAAAAAATTCAAAATGTATGAAATTAATATAAAATGTCAGCAGTATTTTCTTACCTTTTAAAAAGTTAATCCGGTTTTGATCTTGAGCCGGAGAGCCAGTTATTAGAGTAAATACTCAAGTGCCGCGCACACAAAACAAAAATAAGGTAGGCGACACAAGTTCGGGTTTAATTTGAAAAGACGTCGAGCTGTTTATTAGACTAAGATTATAAAAGTAAACGTAACAGAAAATAACACAAGATACAAGAGCTCACAATATGAAAATAAATGTTGATGGTTTTGACAAGTGTATATTATAAGGGGTTCGAGAATCGGACGACGGTACGTTTGGTGGTGTCACGAAAATGACTGACTGGACGTATTATTGCGGCGGGGTATTCGACGCTGGGCATTTGTTGGACTTTACACCACGACGATAACGCGTGTGTGTAACGGTCCGGTTTACAGTGAAGCGATGGCTGAGAAGGAGCTGATACGACCGCGGGGTGTCAGCGTGTGACAACGCCGTGGCCGTGTCAAATTTTAATTTTAAAAAAACAATTTACAATTAAAAACAACGGTAGCACAGTGGGGCTGAGGCACAGTGTAGACAAGGTATAGATGAGACAAGTATAGATGATATTTGACAAGGATTAAAATCACTATCATAAGAAGCGCTTCGATGCAAATCTGTAAATAATGTTTAATTAAAAAAAAGTGGTGGATTACTCCAAAAGCAAAATTAAATCCTATATTTTGTTCAACTTTGACTGTCATTTGCAGATGGAAGATAGGTCGTCGAGACAATTTATTTTTTCACTTATAGTACGTTACATAAGATTTAATTTAACATATATTTAAAAGACGTAGTAATACTGGAACATTTCAAAAGTTCAGTTGAAAAAGTTCTACTTTTTAACACGCTTATATTAGTTTCATGTGTATGTAAAAATGTTTGTATGTAAGTATGTTTGTATCTCTCCACGCGCACATGTTATTATTCTCACGTCTATTATTCTATGTCGGATGAAAGTAGTAAAAATAAAATAATTAGAAACAAAAAATTGTGTTGATTTAAATATTTTTTTAAAAAGTTATAGCAATTTAAAGTAGAAAATATTTATAAAACTAACACAAAAATTGCATTTATTTAATTTTTAAATACAGCAGCTATTTATCCGTAAAAAATGTCGTCGAGGCAAAAATTTTTTTTTTAATTTATAGTAAAAATAATAAGCTTTATTTTAACATATATTTAAACAACGAAGTATTTCCGGAAATTTTTTAGTTGAAAAAGTGGACTTTTGTATAAAAATTGCTATTTTATAATCCCTCTGTGGGTAGGAAATGGATCAGAATTTCAAAAAAATGATATCAAATAAGAAATAATAAACTAAAGGTTTCTATTTAAAAGAATTATTTTGGTACGTTAATTTTTTAAAAGGTTATGGCACTTTTAAGAGAAAAAAATGATTTTATTTAAGATACATAAAGTATCGGTATTTCGGGAACATTTGTAAAAGTTAATTTTTTGTGGAAATGTTGTCATTTTTAACTCCCCCTTGTGGGCAAGTGAAGTGTAACATTTTCACAAAAAATATATCAAATGGTTGGTAAATATAGTTAAAAAATATTAAGTTCACAAATGTAATTATATTTGTTTAATTTCATGAAAATATAAAGCTCTAAACGTCAGCTTTACCCTTCTATAAATATTACATCTATAATAATAGATTTTTTCAAATACTTTTCTATATAGATAAATTTCTGATGGAAATTAATTTATGATAGAGCAAATTTTTTAAAAATCACTTAAAAACAAATGTATAGTATATAAATTTTCAATTTTTCGATTATTAAAATAAAATAGTAGCAAATTAACTTTTTACAGTTTTAAAAAATAAATACTGACAATGAAAAAATTTTATATTGTTTTATTATTATTTATATTTATATCATTCACTGAAACAAAATTTAATTCAAAAATAACTACTGATATATTTAATAGACTTATTGAAAATGATGGATGGAAAAACTTAAAAGATGTCACATGTGTTCTATACTGGCAAAAATCATATTATTTAAAACAGCTACTTGAAAAAACTGATCGCATTAGTTGCAATAATCGAATTCGTATTTTGACTTTATTCTTAGCTTGTTCTTACGTAAGAGATTTAAAAACACTATTTTTCATATTTATGCAATTTAAACTACACTGTAGCTGTTTGATTACAAAATCTGATCCGAAAGCAACTGGATATGATTGCGCTATAGAGTTATTGAAAGTTTTACAAAAAATGCCGACATTAGCAACATTGATAAAAGAAACGCTTTATGTACTGGACTATCTACATAGTTATCCTTGGAAAGATGGAAAAAAAGATAATTTTGTTTTAAACAAATTGCTATCAAATTTAGAAAAATTGAACGAAAGTTTAAAAGACTATGTTCTTTTGGAAAATGATTTATCTTCAATAAAGAATTTTTTAGAATATATTTCTACTTTTTTGATTAATATAAGTAAAGAAACTGAATGCGATTGTATAATGTTTTGTCGATTTTCATCAATTGATATTGAATTTCTATGGTTAAAAATGATTAAAGAATATATACACGAAATTAATTATGGCAACACTTTGCAGTTTTATGATTATCTCAGTCAAAAAGTTAATTTAATATTTAATTCTATAATTATAAATAAATTTCATAAACTGGGGTTTATTCTTAGCTTGTTCTTACGTAAGAGATTTAAAAACACTATTTTTCATATTTATGCAATTTAAACTACACTGTAGCAGTTTGAATAAAAAATCTGATCCAAAAGCAACTGGATATGATTGTGCTATAGAGTTATTGAAAAATTTACAAAAAATGCCATCATTAGCAACATTGATGAAAGAAACGCTTTATGTACTGGACTATTTGCATACTGATCCATGGAAAGATGCGAAAAAGGATAATTTTATTTTAAAAAAATTGTTATTAATTTTAGAAAATTTTAACGAAAAGATAAGAAACTATCTTCCTTTGAAAAATGATTCAAAAGTTACTAAAAATTTTTTTGAATTTATTCAAACATATTTTATTCGAAATAATACTGACATTAAATATTATTGTTTTACGGTTTGTCAATTTGTATCAATTGATACAGAATTTCTATGGCTAAATATGATTAAAGAATATAACTACATAACTAATAATGACAATACTTTGCAGTTTTATGATTATCTCAGTCAAAAAGTCAATTTAATATTTAATTCTATAATTATAAATAAATTTCATAAACTGGGGTTTCAGCATGACCCAAATACTCTACAAATTGGAATACCACTACCAAATAAGTATATAACAGTCGGTATGAATTTTTAAGTAAATAATTTAAAACAATTATAAAGTATATATTTTAAGTGTAGATTTACAATTTTATACAAGACCTAACGAGACTTCTACAACAATTGAAACCGTGTCACAAAGAAATGGTATAATTATAATTTAAATATTTAAATATAAGGTACAAATATTAAACTATTGTAATGGTGTTAAATAATATCCATATTATCATTAATTTAAATATTATTTAGATAAATGTGTCTAAGATACTATGACTTTAATACATTTTGTAAAATAACTACTTTTACAGGAAAACTAAATCCCAATTATTTATAATGATCATGTTTTAATTTTTCACTAGTTTTAGAAAACCAATGGATTCTAGAGCTTATTGATTCATTTAATAAAGGTAAAATTCTTTACTACAAGGAATACATTCAACTTCTAGTTATACATAAATGTATTTGTATTTATTTATATAAAATTAATTTTTATTAGATTTGGATAATGTATCTGAAACTAAAGTAGAAATGCAACAAATTGATTTTATCGGACAAGGTAAAATGACTTATTCATAAATGCATAATATTTTTTTTTTTTACAATTATTGACGGATAAATAAAAAATTTAACTTTTTTTATTTACTTTATATTAATACAGAATAGAAATATGACTATTACAAAATAATATTGACTTTAATAAGTTACTCTGTTATATGTAATGAGTTCTAGAAATCGTATAAATGATTTCTTCGTGATTATAGTTTAAATTATTATAAATAAATTTTTATTAGATTTGGTTAATGTATCTGAACCATATAATGAACTGCAATTAATCGATTTTATCGGAAAAGGTAAAATGACTCATTCATAAGATACAATTTTTTTTATTTATGCTATAATAAAAATTAATAGAAATATGACTTTTACAAAAACGTAATTTTTTTGTTTCGATGCTAAGCTGAGAAGGTATTAATTTAACCATGATGTGTTTTTTTTTTGTGTCTGTTACCACTTTTTCTCAACTTTCACTGGACCAATTTATCTTAAAAAAGTTTACTTTATTTATTTAATATACATTTTTTGATAATCTGACCACAAGGGGGATTCAAAATAACAATTTTTACAAAAAAGTTAATATTATAGAATTGTATTGCATTTAAAACTATTGTACTAATATTCAAGAATCGAATTTATAATTGTTACCAATTATACATAACATTTTTTTTGTTTAATATTATATAGAAAAATGCTATTCAAAATACTAAAAAAAATCTTCTAGAAAAACTACTTTTCAATTAAAACTAAAAATGATTTAAGAAACTAAATTTTATCAAAATATCCATTAATATTTTTCAACTTTTATTAAGTGGGAAATTAATTTAAAAATCCATGATGATAAAGTTTATTGATTCATTTAACAAAGGGAAAATTCTTCGTAATAAATGATTTCTTCATAGTTCTAGTATAATAAAATAGTCTTCGTATTGGTGTATTATAAATTAATTTTTATTAGACTTGGTTAATGAATCTGAACCCAATGAAGAGCTGCAGCTAATCGATTTTTTCGGACAAGGTAAAATTATTCATTTCAATATGAATAATGTTTTTCAAGTTTTGCAGTTATTAAGAGATAAATTAAAAAAAGTTATAAATAAATTGTTTTCAATGTTTTTTCGTTTAGGATTAAATCCTGATGATTCATATGATGATATCTCAGAACCGATGGAAACGGACGAAAATAGAGAAAATTTTACCAAATATCTTTAATCAGTAATTTTATGTATAATCGACACTTTTATTAAATCGTGATAATACAAATATTTTCAAATTAATGTAAAAATAAAATAGTTTGTTTAAACTTCGATGCGTAATTAAAATTATGTTGGTTTTATTTAGCTAAGTTTTTTTTTTACATACTCCTTTCCTACTGGATTTATTTGGTTATACAATACAAATATTATCCACATATATTCATTCAATTGTAACTATGAGTTCTAAATAATAAAAATTGATAATTTGTGGCTCATGACTCAAAATTAAAACTATATAAAAAATATTTTTTAAGAAAAAAGAATTTAAGAAAACCGACAATTTAATTATAAGGATACAACTTTTCTGAAGTGTTATTAATTAAAAAATTAAAAAACCTTCTGATATTTTTCATCTCGACATTTTTATCTAGTTATACAAATTTCTATAACTTTATAATAGTATTTTTATGATAAAATGAATATTCGCAGAAGTTAAATTTTTTTTTCAAATTAAGTGTACATAAGGTTTAGTTTAAGATATTTAAAAGTGTCAGTATTTCCGGAACATTTTTAAAAGTTATGTTGAATAATAAAGTTTTTGTAAAAAAGTTATCATTTTTAATTTATCTATGGACAAGTAAAGAATCCCATTATACAAAAAATATATCAATTGTAGGTAAATATAGATTTAAAAACGATAGCACAGTTAAAATCACTATAATAAGAAACGCTTTGTTGCAAATCTGTAGATAAAGTTTAATTTTAAGAAATTAGTGGATTATTCCAAAAGCAAAATTAACTCCTATTTCTTTAATTATATCCTGATTACTAGTTTTTTGATTTTAAATTATAATATATGCATAAATACTAATTATATTAATTAAATTTAGTATTAAATTGATAATCATTAATTTAATATTATAATCTATACGGAGATGTTATAAAAATAATAATGTAGTTGCTTGCGCATCAAAGAGCAACGTTGGCGATACTGTTTAATGATATCATCGCCAATACACTGATAGTATATTGCAAAAAGTTTGTAAGAGTGCGGTCTATCTAATAGAGATGTACCTGGTTTTTTGAAAACAAGTGAAATTGAAAGGATTGTCTTTTTCTGTGCATTGTACTGATCTCAACAGAATCATAAGTGACAAGGTTGTCACATAATCGGAGTGAGAATTAGATGTTTATTCACCAGTTGGATCTGATATAATTTAATAGAGCTGGGTCTATAAGAAGAAACGATCAATAAGAACAAGTAATATCAAGAATTAATAACACAAGTTCTTAGAATGAAGCTTATCACTGTCACTCCTATTTCTTGTGAGCTGTAAAATAAATATTTAATATATATATTTATATATATACACATATGTGTGTTGAATTTTGTGTAGGACACAATTAATTTATGTAATTACTGGGTAAAAGACAAACAGGTTTCAACTGCTATAAGAAAAGAACCCTTATGCCAACAGTAGTTGTATATTTCTTTACCTATAACACGTATTAAAATTTAAAGGGCTTGATGCAGTACTTTTCAATAAAACATTTTTGTTACTTATGAATAAATACACAGGACTACAAGGAATTTCACCACCAAGATAAGTCCAGAGGTCAAATTATTTTTTTTCAAATTATGTTATATTACATAATTTAAGGTAAATATAAAAGTGTCAGTCTTCCGGAACATTTTCAAAAGTTAATTTTTTGTGAAAAAGTTGCCATTTTGAATCCTTTCCTGTAGCTGGTAAAAGGTCGAATGTTTACAATAATATATTAAATGATAGGTAAATATCTAAGGTATCTATAAAAAAATTTTTTATCGATTCAGTCATTTTTAAAAAAGTTATGGCAGTTTCTAGTAAAAACATGTCGACAATTGTGGTTTTTAAATTTGTAATTTTTTAGGGGATTTTCCCGTTTACGGGGAACGATGGAATTTTTTTCAATTTTTGAAGGTAATGTCTTTGACTAGATACAATTTATGATCTTTTGACGTATTGTTAATCAAAATCGGTCCAGCGAGAGCTGAGATTGAGCGTTCACAGACACAAAAAAAAAAATAAATAAATAAAATAAAAAACACATCATAGTAAAATTAATACCTTTTAAGCTTATCATCGAAGCTAAAAAACACGATACAATTAAATTAAAAACTATTCAACTAGGCTTCGATGGTTACACAAAATGTGTTTACATTTACATTAAATTAAAAAAAAATTATGTTATCAAAGTTTAATAAAAGAGGAGAGTTTATAAAAATATAAAAGATTAAAAAAACTTGATATAATCCTCTATATTTTCGTCAGTGTCCATTGTCTCTAAAATATCTTCACATGAATCGTCGTTTTTTAGTCCTATATAAAAATAGTAACATAATAAATTCTTATAAGTTATAATTATTACTTAAAAAATATCATATTATCAATGTGTATTAATACAAGATAAAAAAATAATATTTTAATTATTTTATAATAATTGCTAAATTTGTAAAAAATTATTTACGAATTGCAAAATTTATACAAAAATATATATCTATGAACAGTCATTTTACCTTGTTCGGGATTATTGATTATTTGTAAATCTTTGTTAGTTTGAGGTACATTATTTACTTCTAATAAAAAATAAATTGAATATATCAAAATACAAAAACTTTTTTATATAACTAGAATTTCGAAATAATCGTTTTGAAAATTTCATATCATTATTTTGTGACAACACAAGGCAAAAAAATAATAATAATAATTTGCTTTAACGAACACTTATTTTGTTGAACATCTCATATTAAAATTTATTAACAAACAATTAAATAATTAATAGGTTCAGTTTAACCTGAATTTTTTTATATATCGCAATTATTGCAAAATTCATACAATAATATTTATCTATGAATAGTCATTTTACCTCGTTCGAGAAAATTGATTAGTTGTAGTTCTTCATTAGTTTGAGATACATTATTCAATTCTAATAAAATATTAATTTAATATAAATAAACAAAATAACGTTTTTGTATAACTAGAAATTTGAAGTAACAATTTATGTTGAAGAATTTTACTATTATTAAAACTAATGCCGTATAAGGCTTTAATTTAAAAAAAAATAGCGAATATACCAAAAATTATAAAAAACTTAGAAACTATTACTCATAGAAGACAATTCCTTGAAAGGGATTACTTTTTAATAGTATGGTACACAAAAAAGTAAAACCTAAACTCGATTTAGTTTTGAATCATTTAGATATTTTTATAGTTTTTTTAATGTAAAAAGAACTTTTACACCTTTAATTTAGTGATGGTTTGACGAAGCCAGGTTATTTTAAACAATATAAAAAATTGAATAGGAATAATTTTTTTATGACGTTTAGGCTTCTACAATAATATTAATAATTATTATTTTGAAAATTTCATATTATTATTTTATACTATAACAAGACTAAAAAAGTAATAATAATAGTATAATTGAATATGTATTAATCTCCCAAACATTGCAAAATTAAAAAATATTATTCATCTACGATGATGTCATTTTACCTTGTCCCAGAAAATCAATTAGTTGTAGTTCTTCATTGGTTTGAGATACATTATTCAATTCTAATAAAAAATTTAATTAATATTTAGATATACAAATAATTTTTTATAAAACTAGAACATTTAAGTAACAATTTATGTTGATGAATTTTACCATTATTAAAATCAAGGCCGTAAATTTTAATAATTGATGATTATTTGTAGAAAATTAGAAATATTAGAGCAATTTTAAAAAAATTCAGCATATTTCATATCATTATCATTCATAGCATAAGGTAGAAATAATAATAATAATTCATTTATTTTATATTTAACTGGTAAAAATGACAAAATTTATAAAAATATATTTATTAACAAATGAGACAATTTACCTTGTCCGAGAAAATCGATAAATTGTAGTTCTTCATTGGTATTAAATACATTATTCAATTCTAATAAAAAACTAATTTATTATTAACAGATACAATAATGTTTTTGTTTCACTAGAAATTTGAAGTAATAGTTAAGAATTTTACCATTATTTAATGAAGCTATAAGCTCTAGTATCCACTGATTTTCCAAATGATGCTTTATTTCTAGTAAAGAATGGAAAAATATAATGAATTCATAGTTGAAATTTAACGTTATGAAAATTTCGTTTAATTACTGCTACAAAGCATTTATAATTATTTTTTATTCAATCTCAAAAAGTAGTTTTTCTAATAGATTATTTCTAAGTCTAACTTTTTAAGAACACTCATTTATATAATACTTAAATAAATAATCTTATGAAAAATATATGACGTAATAGTTTTTAAGTAAACTTTCTAAATATGTAATTGGGAACAAAAATAATTATGAATTTTGAAAATTAGTACAATCATTTTAACTTTATTTTGAATATTTTATATATTATAATTATATTTATACCTTTTATTTCATATTCACTTTGATTATTTTCAGAAGTTTCGTTATGTCTTTTGAAAAATGCTAAATCTATATATAAAATATATGTTTAAAATAGTTTTAAATTTTGTTTTATAAATGCATACCGGCAGTAATATACTTATTTGGTAATGGTATACCAATTTGTAGGGTTTTTCGATCATACTGAAATCCTAGGTTATGAAAAAGGTTCATAATTATAGAATGAATTATTAAATTAATTTTTTGACTCAGATAATGGTAGAATTGAAATGTTTCATCTATATTATTTTTGTATTTATATTCTTCATCCCATTTTTCCCAAATCGATGCTATATCAAATTGTTCAAATTGACAATATGTCGAACTATCCTCTTTAATATTAACATGTATAAAATTAAAAAACGAATCAATATGTTTGAAAATTGTTGCTATTGTTGATAATTCATTTTCTTTAAGGATATTGTCTTTTAAAATGCTGTTACATTCTTCTAAATATAATAAGAAATTGTAAAAAACTAAATTATTTTTCTTTGGATTTGTATGCAGATAGTCTAAAACTAAAAGTGTTTCTTTCATTAATGTTGCTAATGATGGAATTTTTTGTAAAATTTTCATTAACTCTATAGTGCAACCATATTCATTTAATAAAGGATTTCTTTTGTTAATCAAACTTTTACAATATTCTCCAAATTGTATGAATAGCAAAGATAGTATATTTATATATTTTGCGTACGAACATGCCAACATTACAGTTAATACACGAACTCCTTGATTGCAAGTGAGAAGTGTAGCAGCTTCTAGATGATTTTGTAAAATATAATATTTTAGCCGATATTTAACATATTTCACATCCTTTAAATCTTTCCATCCATAATTTTTAATAAGACTATTGTATATGTCAGTGTTTCTTCTTGAGTTCATTGTGGTTTCAGTTAACAGTATGAATACAGATAGTAATAGCAAAGAAGTTTTTATCATAATTAGTATTTATTTTATTAAAAATATGAAAAGTAACGTATATGAATATTGTTATTATTTTTTTTATTCGTATAAAAATTAAAAATTTATATTCATATAAAATGATTTTCATATACTTTTATATAATTTACTATATTATATATTTATTTCTAAATTGATGTTTTTACAGATATAAAAATATTTAAAAAAATCTATGTATAACATTAAAAATTATTGCATGGTTATGTATTACTTATAATAATTTCAGTGACGAAAAAAATGTTTTAAAGTTTTTTTTTTCGATTGGATTATAAATAAAATAGCAGTCTTGAATTTATTTATTTGTTAGCATATATTTTTTTTATACAATTTTATTATGAAGAAAATGTGTTAAAACTACAATGTCGTTTCAATAAATTATTACTTTAACAATACATGTTCTCCAATACGTAAAAAAAGAACAAGCTTTTAAAAACTATAAACAGTGTTTGTCTAGTTATTTATAAGACTATTGAAATAAACTCATCTCCAATCAATTTCGGTAGGTTGAGGAAATGGCCCCCCAAGATTTCCACTTAGATACGTATTTGGTCATCATTAATTTTATCTAGCCATATGATAATATAGATGCCTGAGATTAACAGCTAAATATTGAAAGTGTACTGGAAATCATGCAAAATGAGACAACAGGATTAGAATCACTAATCTATCGTATTTTTATAAATCGATCTCGATACAATTATACATAGCTGATAAAGTGTTGAGGGAAACATGGTGTCGTATCAGTTATATATAAAAAATTTTAATTTTTATGTCATTTTTTCTTTATTTAATCTTCGATGCGAAGTTGAGAAGGTATTCAATTTAATTTGGTCTGTTAAGTTTAAATTTTTTTTTACAATATGTCATAAGACCATAAATCGTATCTATTTATATATATTACCTTCAAATTTTTTCAACAAAAAGACAAATCTCCCAAAAATTTTTTTTTATAATTAGTGAATTTCAATATTTCTTTAACTTTTTTTATTCAAAACTATTTTCTTTTGTAAATATCTATAAAGTTTCCCTTTTATTAGTGTATATAATTTTTTAATCTGACTTTTTACCCACTTACGGGGGGTTAAAAATAGTACTCTTGCATAAATATTAACCTTCAAAACTTAACTTTTGAAGATGTTCTAGAAATACTACGAGCTTCAAATATAAGTTAAATTAAAGTTTATTTTACATTCTATAAATTAATAAAAAAAATTGTCTTAATTATTTATTTTCTATGTGCAAATATTCACCGTAGTTTAAAACGTGATTTTCTGTTAAATTATTCGATCTTATATTTTTTATTTTAAATAAATATAAATTTTGAAAGATGACATACACTTATTATATACACCTGTATAATTCTTTTGTCTGAAGTAGTTTTATTGAAATCGGACCACTTTTCTTTATATAGCAGGTTTCATAACTTTAAATACGCGTATAAAAAGTAAAACTGTCTGAATTATAAATTTTTAATATCACATTTGAAAATACAAAAATCCTAACACCTTTATACATATTTTAAATTAAATCTTATGTAAAATATATTGTTAAAAATGAAATTAAACAACACAACAATATAAAATAAAAGGTGGAATTTTTTGTATTATTTCCTTTCAAAAATCAACTCCCCCTAGTTTATAAGGTACGGGCAACGGTCTTGTATAAGGTTATTCCTGATCATCATGGTTTGTGACAAATGTCAACTATCAACGACTTAGCGAATATCAAACACAACCTTGGTTTCTTTTTTATTTTTTTGTTATCTTAAATTACTTTTAATGTATAATATTAAATTTTTTTTTTTAATCCTACTGTTGTCCGACAATACATTGTCTCGCCAAGGGATTGGCGACCCTTTTTTGTATTTTTCAATGCGCCATGAAAGGTTACGGATTTTATCCGTTGTGGCCAACTGATTTGATTTTTTTATGATATTTGTAACCTTTAAACTTTCCACCTACCTATCACGTCCTCGTTGGTTGTCATTGATCTCTTATTTCACCTAACTCGTATTCTCCTTTATCAAACTAGTTTGATTTACTCTGTCTTACTTCTACTTAATCCTTTTCTTTCAAGTGCTGATCTCTACACCTCTAGCCTTTGATTAATTTCCTCCCTATTTTCCCCTATTAACACTATATCGTCATCAAAAAATATGCACCACGGCACATCTCCTTGTATTTCTCTAGTATTTTCATCCATCAATATAGAAAATAAGTAACATGTTTTTAGATACAGATGTTTATGACTCATAAGCTCTATGCCTCTATAATATCCACACTCCTGTATGTCTCTTTTACCTTTAAATATCGGCACCACAACACTATTCCTCCATTCATTTAGGATTTTCCTTTCTAATAAGATTATATCTAAAAGTTCCTTCAACCATATTATGCCAACACCGCGAAATATTTTCCATACTTCTACTGGCACTTCTTCTAGACTTAATGCTTTATTATTGTTCATTAATACCACAGTTCCTTTGGATATTTCTCATTCAGTAATTTTTCAAAATACTATTTCCACCTTTTTTCACATCATCATCACTCAATACTACCCAATTATCAACACTTATTATACATCTTAAATCTAAATACTTATAACATATAATTATAATTATTAACTCGTAATCACGATAATGAAGAAAATAGGAGTTGATCTTCTTTTTAAATAAACCAACAATTCTAAGTTTTGATATTATTTTTAATTATTAAAAAATGATTATTTACTTATAAAAAAAATAATTAAAAACAAACAAGTAATGAAAACAAAAAAAATTGTTTTTAAATTATTACAGATTTTGATTATTAATATGTTAAAAATAATCAGTGTAAAGTATCATTATTAACCTATTTTTTTGATCCTTTAAAGTTGATTTTTGTGAATATTTATAATAAAATAGTTGAATTTGTTACTTAACTTTTAGCTTAACTTGCAAGTTTGAAATTGACAGGATTTAATAGAAAATTGTATGATAATTAAAAATATGGCATTGTTAAGATTATAATACAATTAGGAAATTGTATAATTACTATTAACAGTAAATTTATCAGTTAAGATCAATATTTTTTTGCATTTTTATTCGATATCGATAGCTATATTATGATGAAAAGGTTATATTATATAATAATAATAATATACTAATAATCAGATTAGAAAAGCTTGTAATATGTATATACATATATTAATAGACGGCTTACAATCATTGTTAGTGCAAAAAACATTTAAATACATTTATGTCGTTTCAGAAGAGCAGTTTGAAATTTTTTTTATCATTATCTCAGATTATTAATTTTTTAATGCAGTTTACTGACTAAAATTTTGAGTTTTTACTTTTCGAAGTTTTACACTATACATTTTAATAGTTAATTTGTACAATTACAGATTTTGTTAATTTTCGTGTTAAATACACTTTTTTATTTGTACTCAACCATGGAAATAAAAAAATTATTTTTTTAAACATTATTTTTAAAATTTAATGAAAAAAAAAACACTAACAACAACGACAAAAACAAAAACACCCATAATGATAAAAATAAAACAGTTATAACGACAAATATAAAAAAACAACAAAAATTACAAAAACAAAAAGGAAACAAACTTAGTCGGTAGTCTAACTCCAACCTCTGACCTGTAACTATCGCTCTCGAGTTGAACTCTATGAGTTAAATATACATGTATAATAGCTAAAACTTATTATATTAACATCTTAACTATTATTCAATATAACTTATAAGTTAAATTTTCTTCTCTCTTATTAGCAGGTACACAGCATTGTTATTATCAATTGTAGATAGGCACATTGTTATGAGTTTATAAATACACTAACTGACAATACAGAAAGTATATCTAATGATAATCATAATTGATAATAAACAATCCGTGACTGAGACAGCAATGTCATAAAAATCCAATTAGCTACCTGTATTTAAAATCCCATGTGTATTATACATGTATATTAACTCAAAATTTTGAAACTTTAAATGTTTATATCTAATAAGCTAATAAAGTTATATTAAAAATTCAAATGCCATTTACTATTAAATTAAAAACTCAAACATTTTATTAAATTAAAAATATGTGTTACCATTTAAAAAAACAAAGTTGACCCCCCTCCAAGGCATAAGGGATGAACTTAAAAAGTATTACATAGTTAATAATTCAAGAATAATGTGTAACTAAAGATAATAAAAAAAAAAAATGTTTAAATTATTATTACTCTGCAAGTAATTGAGTGGGTTATGATAAAAAAATCACTCTGTATATTGTTGTAACTCAAAATTAATTGTAACCACCTCATTTTTTTTTTAATTATCAGGGTTTATTCTTTATGCTATATTTAGAGTAAAATATTTTTTTTTATAACATTTTCATATTTATGGCTATTTCAATATAAAAATATGTTAAAAACAGCCAGAACGTTAAATACACACAGATTATTGAATATTAATCAAATCGAATTTTAGAATTGACCTTATTATAACTAAAAGTTTACATTAAAAAAAAACTATGTTTGTGAAATTCTAAATTTAAATGACTTTTAAAAATGGTGACTTTCTGTGTAAATTGGTGTTAGAACTATTGTAGGTACTAGGAAAAATCCTAGATTTGTATCAATTAATAACAATACCATATGAAGCTTTAAGACATCATTAACTAATATTTATGATTATATAATATTCTATCTACTAAAATAAATCTTATATTATTCATTAAAATATTTTGTAATATTGTCATAATAATCAAATTAATTTATTTTTTATTTTTCAACTAAAATTATGGATTGAATAATTATAATATATATGTATAATGATATTGTATTGTAACATATAATTACATATATAATAATATAAAAAACTATTACAAAAACATAGTTTGAAGAAAACAAAAAACTTACTTTAAGCTATTTGATTTTAAATTGGTCATTTACTGTTTTTAAAATTTATTTTTTAAAATTGTCATTAAAATAAGAAAATTAAAAAAAAAATTGTTTTAATCTAAATATCGCATGAAGAATAAACCCTAAACATTAAAAAATAATGAGGTGGTCGTGCAACCACTTCTGAATTAATTATCATGAATTGTCACACTGTTAATAATAATCAGCCGTTTATTTTATTTATTTTTTCAATAAAATATTGGTTAATAACAAAGAAAGTATATCGTTATAGATCCTATATAAAAAAATTTAATATGTCTAGTTTATTAATGATATACGTTATAAATGTACATTCAGCTTAAATAATTATCAAAATCATAAGAAGATAAGTCAAATTAATATATCATTTTTAGTGTATATGTAAAATTATTTGATACGAATAGAAACTTTGTATGAATTTTTTATATTTTTATTATAATAATTAAACTCCATTAATTTTTGAATTACAAAAATTTATTTGTTAAAAGTAATCAACTAAATTAACTTAGTTAAAAAAGGTATTCATCACATATAAAGTGTTATTAAAAAAAAGTATAATTATAGGATATAACATAAAGACAAATAATGTACAGTTTACTAAGCTTAAATAGAAAGCAATAAATCACATAGTTAATAGCTCTTTATACGATTTCATTTTTTTAAAATACGTTCTTTGTCTCATTATGAGTATCCTCATATCTTGTTTGTTTTAATTTATTTTTAAAAATAAAACATTATTACCATGCTATACTAACACTTAAGGATTGCCTAGTGTTCAGTTCACAAACACCCCGAAGTTTAAAATTTTATTAGAAGATTAAATTTTATAATTTTTATTTTAAATTTTGCTATGTAAATGATTATTTTTACTACATTAAGACTATGATATAAAAAGTTCTTATTTAACTTACTAAACCAAACTGAATACATCATTATTGATTGGCCAAAAATATTACCTGCAAAAAAATGTATATACATATTTAGAATTACATATATTTGAGTATTTAAGTTAAATTAATACACATTAGTGAAAGCAATTGAGAGAGCAATATGTTATAGGCATAAAGTTACAACATTAAATATGTAAACAGTGTCATTATTTCATTAACAGAAGTTGAAAACAGGGTTTGAGACTTTATGCATTTATATAACTTGTTTGAATTGTTTCTAAGACACACAACTCCACAAAAAATTATAAATATGTTACGGATAGTTCTAATGTTAATAAAAGTTTTAAATATAATATAGGCAACAAAAACACGCACAATGTCTAAATAATAACTGCAACGGCACTACCCGAGAGGAAAAAAAAGGAATTTAAATAAACAAATATATATATATATTTAAAAACTCAGCACAGGGGGGTCGCGGCACAGTGGTGACGTGCCATAGTTAGATCAAGTATAATAATATCTGACAGTGATTAAAATCACAATAAAAAAAACGCTTCGATGCAAATCTTTAGATAGTGTATAATTTTAAAAAATTGGTGGATTATACCAAAAGCAACATGATCTGCTAGTTCTTTATTAATATCCTGATTCAGATAAAGATATATGTAAGAGATTATTAAAAAATATTATTTCTTATAAAAAAATTGTGTTGATCCATACACTATTTAATAAGTTATAGCATTATAAAATAAAAAATGTAAAAACAGGAATTTTCACACAAAAATAGTATTTGGTAACTATTTTCACCGTGAAGACAAAATAAAGTCCGAAATTTTTTTTTCCATGATAAAGTATATTACATTAGCTTTAATTTAAAATATATATATATATATATAAGTGTCAGACTTTCCGGAACACTTTCAAAATTTAAGTTAAAAATGTTAATTTTTTGTAAAAAGTTGTCATATTGAATCCCCCCTGTGGGCAGGTTAAGGGTCAGATTTATAAAAAAAATATGCAAATGATAGGTAAATACATCATGTATATATAAAAAAAATATATATTGATTTGTTCATTTTTGAAAAAGTTATGGCAGTTTTAAGTAAATAAAATTGAAAAAATTTCGAAAATTAGCGATTTTTAAATTTATAATTTTTTTGGAGGTTTCCCCCATTTACGGGGAATGAGAGAAATTTTTTCAATTTTTGAGGGTAATATCGATTCGGTGAGAGCTGAGAAAAAGTGGTAACAGACACAAAAAAAAACACATTATAGTAAAACCAATACCTTCTCAGCTTCGCATCGAAGCTAAAAATTAAACAAAAGAGATGAAATACAACTTATGTTTTTTAGTATTATATATAAATGTAGCTTTCAAAGTACAACAAGTGAAAACAGCGGATAGAGTTAGTTCGCGTAGGATGTCAGAAAAACAAGAGTGAGAGCGTTCACCGCCAGAGGTCACGACTGCCTTTCAGTATATACTTTGCACCCTAGCTAGATAGGGGGGGTATTCTAATCAGGCAGGGTCTCGCGATTTAATTAGACGGCTGATGAAAGAGACGAGGTGACCATGTATTAAACATATCGCAAAATATACGGTACCATGTCAAGTATATACAATTTCATAAAAATATTTTTACAAAATCGTAGAATAGAATTTATCCTGACTTTTTTAATTGGGTTCAAGCATGTTAACAGTGTGATAAGTTTTTTTATTAAAAAAAACTTAGCGTTTTACATATTCGAAATTCTACAGGGTGTTCAGTAAGTCAGGAAACGGGTTTCTATTGTTCTCATTGTTACAAACAATGAGAACAATAGAAACCCGTTTCCTGACTTACTGAACACCCTGTATATTATTTGGTAATTTAATTTTCGATAACCTAAACTATCGTTATTTTCGTTAGTTTTTACTTTGCTTTCTCCTTATTGTACAAATAAGTGCTCACGTGGGACGTAAACCAAACGATGACAAACACGAATTTGACTGTCGCATTAATATTATACCGAATGGTCGACATCAGTTGTTATATTGAACCTTTTTCTACCAATATGTGACTTTCCTCACTTTCAATGTTACTGCAAATTGAATGATCAGGAATCGTTACTACTTTATCTGTTTTATGATCTTGTTGCATCCTGAAATCTCCTCTTATTTACCATAATTACAGTCAAAAACTTACTAGCTTTTAAAGCTTATTAGTTTTTCATAGCTTTCGTCATGTGGCTATTAAATTAATTTTGTTTAATAATTTTTTGATAGATTTCGACTAATCAATCAAAAAAATGTATCTTGTAAAAAATATTTAAAAATATTAAAGAATTCAGCATGTTATGTTAGCAGTATTATCGACTATATTATTATTAAGGTCAGACTGTTGTGATATATTTGACACGAATCAGTACGCAACGGTTACTTTTAGAGAGTTATTGTTAGAATTTTTTTCCGAATCCTAAATAACAATGCCGTATGACATGAGTAGTTGAAACAATTCTTTAAATAAAATAATTTTGAGAAATATATATATTTATATATATATACAAAATATGAACAGCTGTAGTCAGCTTTCTATCTAGAATTAATCCTAAATATTTTACTTCCGTAGAATGAGGAATAATACTGTTGCTGATAAAAACAGGACACTCAAGATTCTTAAGCGTAAGTGTAACAAAAGAGAACTTTGCTTCATTTTTTTTTATTGACTCTTTAAATATTATAAATATTTATGAGAAGTCATATTTATATGTGAATGAAGTTATTTATTAATAGTGTGGTGGTTTATTTATTTAAATAATATTTGTATATCAAAGGTAAAAGTATCAAAAATTTTTGTTTTAAATATTGTTAAGTTATATATATAGTATACATTGTATACGTGGTGTACAGAGTTGTAAGTTAAACATTTCTTAATAATCGGATATCATTTGTATAAAAAACAGAAATTTAATAAAATAAATGTATAAAATTGTTTTATGGTAATTTGAAAATAGTTTATTGATGGTTATGTTAGCCGTCAATCAAAATTAGAGTCCGAATTTTACGTGCATCTAAACAGTTTAAAATTTTATACATATAATCATGAAAAATCCTTTAAATTTGCTTTCAATTATGTTATTAAAATTAATAAAACAAATTTTTCATCAAATAATGCTTTTATGGATTTTTATGCAAAAATAAAAAAATGATTTAAAATAAACTCTATTGGCAATGTAAGAGCTACTTATTAAAATTTAGCACTTCTATTATTAAAGAGAGTTTACAATCACTCATATTTCATTTTTGCTTTACCACAATAGTTTTTTATTTATTGGTATTTAATAAAAAAAGTTATTAAAATTATTAAATAATTTTAGTTCTGAAAAATAATTATACTTTTATTTTGTAAGTAATTGCGTATAACTCATTCTTATTCTTCGTGTTACTTTTTATAAAATACAAAATAATTTATATAATAACAAAACAACTAAATAATGTTATTATGTAGTTTTCATATTATTGGTAATTCGTCTATTCCAACCCAACAAATTACTTACAAAATATAAATTATAATGAAAATATTGGTTATTTTAATTTCAAGTTTTTTTTGGTTCATCCTTTATATCTTTTAAAAGTGTCAACTATATTTTTTAATGGAAATATACATATTTATTCAGCGTATAAAATAGAATATGATCAAGTTTAGCGATGCATTGACTATAGTATTCTTACTTAATTTGGAAATAAGTTTTGGTGTATTAGATTTATGTGGTTTATATTAATTTATACATGATAGTGGATTTCCTAAAGACTTTGTTGTATGCTGTTATGTGGTTAAATAGCTGATCTCGAAACCAGAGGTGTTTGTAGAAGAGGACATAGGAGTACATGCCCTTCTACATTGATTTAGATATGCTCATATTTTATCTACCAATGTAATAATGAAAGATGAAATAGTAATTAATATCAATTGAAAATTTTGTTTGGTTGTCAATGATACCGTATGTTTATAAAACTTTGATTGATGTAGTTATTTTGAGAAGAAAAATTTAATGTCCCGTAAGGTTTTTTCTCAGAAACGTTATAAATTACTATTAAGAATTACAAATACTTTGAAAATAATCTTTTTGATTCATTTTAATGCGCAGGGAAATATTCTGCTATTTTTACGTTAATGTATCCTGTTTTTAATTTTTTTAATTAGATTTAAAAATATCAAAATAACATAAATCCAGCAAATAAGGGTTGCGACATAATTAAGACAAGTGTTGATAATATTTGACAGTGATTAACATCACTATCATAAAAACGCTTTAATTCGATACTATTAAGTTTTACAATAATTTGTGTATTTGTAACTTTATAATTTCTATGCCTTTTTTTAAATTTCAATCGAATATTAAACTGAAAAGTTTTTTTTTATTGTCATTTTTTAATTTGAGTGATGATTTCATTTAAAAAAACGACATTAGACATATATATAATTAAATGTAGTAAATTTTAAAATCTGATATAAATTTAAAAAATACAGTCGTTTAAAAACCTTTTAAAAAATTGAATTGACAAAAAAAATTTTACAAGCTTCGTGGTTTTTTCAAACTTTTTCTTTAAATTGGATTTCTATAAAAAAATTATTGCCTCTAAAATACCACATTAAAATTTCATTACGATCAGTGTTTAAAAAAAAATTTATTGAACTTTTGAAACAGAAAAAAAATATTTTTTTCAAAGAGAACATTATAATATATGTTCTATTATATAATAAGATGTTTAAATATATCTATCTTAAGACAATAAGCTAATGCAGCTACTACAGTGGTCGGTAATGTAATGATAAGAAGTTGAATTTCATATAATTAATTTAAAAGTGAATATATAAATAAATAACTAAATTGATAATAAGTAAATTATTGTTGCATTAACATTCGATAAAATTATGACAGTTAATACAACAATTTTTCAGTTTATACATATATTATAGATCCTTAATATAATTTGATATAGATTTCTTTGCCTACTGAAAAAAAAAAAAAATAATGTTAATACTCAAGTTAACCCTTTACACCGTACAACTATATTATATCGTTATAGCAAAATAGATATGAAAGTTGTTTAAATAAATAGTATATATTAATTTAAATTATTATCCAAATTTGTCATTATATGTTTGATATATTTCTATAAGAAGTTCACTAACATAACAACTATATTTTCTTATTTCAAGAAAATATGATGCCTTAATTATAAGCTTACATCACTTTACTCTTCTATAATTATGACGGTTTAAATAATAGTTTTGTTTTTTTGCAAATATGATGTAAATTCTATAAAAATCATTTTAAAACAAATTTATAATATGTATATTACACTTCCAATTTTGCCATTATTTAATTAAATAAAAATCTCTAATGACTTCATCTAGTTTAAAAAAAAAATCTGATCATGAAAAAATCTTTTCAATTTTTAAATTTTTTTAATACTATCCATATTTATACTATTAACAGGAACAAAAAAAACTCAAAAAGAATCACAAGTATATACAATAGTTTTAAAAAAATGATGGATTGAAATATTTAAATGATGTAGCATACATTAAATATTCGCAAAAACCCAATTATTTAGGTCAACTTCTTGAAACAATTGATAAAAATAAATGTAACAATCGAATTCGATCATTGACTATATTTTTAGCTTGTTCTTACATAAAAGATTTAAAAAAGCTATTTTTTTTACTCATACAATTTGGACAGCACTGTAATAGTTTGATTAAAGCAATTAATTCAATAGCAGTTGGGTATAGTTGCGCTATAAAATTATTGGAAATATTACAAAAAATTCCATCGTTTACAAAATTGATGAAAGAAACACTTTATGTATTGTGCTATATGCACACAGTTTCATGGAAAAATGGTAAAAAAAAATATTTTGTTTTTCAAGATTTATTTTTAAATTTAGAAAATTTTAACAACGACTCAAAACAACATCTTCCTTTGAAATATAATTCATCAGCAACAATCAATTTTTTAGATTATATTTTTAAATTTTTGTCTGATAGAGATAGAGACACTATAAGGGATTGTATATTATTTTGTCGTTTTGAAGAATTTGATTTAGCATCGCAATGGATAGAATGGTATGAAGAATATAAATACAAAAATTGTAAAGACGAAACATTTCAATTCTACGATTACCTAAGTCAAAAAATTAATTTGAAAATAAATTCTATAATTATAAATAAATTTCATGATCTAGGGTTTCAGTATGATCTAAAAAACCAACAAGTCGGTATACCTCTTCCAAATGAGTATTGCATTGGCGGTATGAATTGAAAAATAATTAATTTAAACTATTTTTAAAAGAATATTTTTTATATATAGAATTAAAATTGTTCACGAGACCTAAAATAATTCAAAATGAATCGGGAAATAAAGGTATAAATATAATTGTAAATTATAATATAATCTACATAAACATTTTAAAATTTTAAAATTAATGTACTTGTTTTTAAAATTTATATTAATTTTTATTCCTATGTACATATTTTAAATTTTACAAAAAATTACTATGTCAAAGAATTTTTATATAATTGAATGGTTTCTTCAATGTTTTAGTTTTATAAACAAGTATTTGTATTTTTTTATATTATATTTATTTTTTATTAGAAGTGAATAATGTACCTCAAACTAATGAAGAACTACAACTAATCGACTTTCTCGGACAAGGTAAATTGATTCAATTGTAGATAAATAATTTTTTATCAATTTTATATTTAGTAAGTGTTAATTAGAAATACAAATTAAACTAACTTTATTATTATTATTATTATTATTTTGCCTTGTGTTGTCACAAAATAATGATATGATATTTTCAAAACGATTATTTCGAAATTCTAGTTATATAAAAAAGTTTTTGTATTTTGATATATTCAATTTATTTTTTATTAGAAGTGAATAATGTACCTCAAACTAACAAAGATTTACAAATAATCAATAATCCCGAACAAGGTANGAATAATGTACCTAAAACTTATGAAGAACGACATCTAATCGATTTTCTCAGACAAGGTAAACTTTTCAATCGTAAAATAATTTTTTATGGATTTTGCAATAATTGCGAGATAATTAAAAATACAAGTTAAACTGAACCTGATAATTTTTCAATTTTAATAAATAGTAATATGAAATGTACAAATTAATAAGTTTTCGTAGTATAATTTATTTAATAATTTTATATTTTATTAAGGATTAAATCCTGTTGATTCATATGAAGTTTTGTTAGAGCCAATGGAAACTTATGAAAATCTAATAAAATATCTTTAATCGGTGTTTTTATGTGTAATTGCTACTTTTTTCATGTCGTAATAATTTTATTATTTTTTATTTGAATATAAAAATAAAATAATCGACATAACCTTTGATGCATCAAAGCTGGTCCTCGAATGCAGGGAAACTTTAGAATCACTATCGAGGTTCAACAAAGTTACACTAGCGTGGGTACCGGGACACAACGGTGTCACTGGAAATGAGAATGCTGACTTTCTAGCCAGGAAAGGAGCAGAGAACACCTATGTTGGACCAGAACCAGTGGTAGGACTCACTGAGCAATCGCACAAAGCGTTACCCAAGAATTGGTGCAGAGAAAAACACAGGAAATTCTGGAAGTACTTGGTAGTACCTAGACAATCTAAAATGTTTATCAAGACCCCTGGTTTATTGCTGGATGATCTTAATAGCATGACTAGACATCAAATAAGCACCCTGACTGGTCTACTGACAGGACATGATCACCTGCTTAAGCATCTTAACGCAATGGGGGTATCGGAATCACCATTGTGCAGGAAGTGTGAAGTAGAAGAGGAAGACTCATTTCACATCATGTGCGAATGTGAAGCCTTGTCCACACTAAGATCAAACTACTTGAATAAACCATTTCCTGAAAAAGAGGATATTAAAAACCTAAAACCCAGAGAGATACTTAATTTCGCCAGAAAGACAGGACTCTTTGGTCATCTTTAGAGGTGACTTTATGGTTGGTAATGTATTAACACTTTGGTGATAACACTTAGGTGGGTAAACCGAATCAAGACAATTCGGTATGAGGTGCGCACAATGGACCAACAGGTCTGAGTGCATGGGCATTATGTCCACCTCAATAATAACTAAAACTAAAACTAAACCTTTGATGCATAGCTAGAGGCTATTAATTTGATCCTGAAGTTTTTTTAGTTGTAATCCATACTCGATTATCCCTTTTGCTATCAAAGTCACGCTATATCTTTTGTCAATTATGACTATCAATAGATATTAATTCTGTATTGTCAGTTAATGTATTGAAAAACTCACAATAATGTGATCTACTCTTATTGATAGTAAATGAAGTGTATTTACAAATATGGACGTCATAAAAACCAATTAGCTACCTGCATTTTATATTTAATAAACGAATAGTTATATTAAAAATTCAAATCATATTAACTGTTAAATTAAAAACTATAAGGATTTATTAAATTCAATAAATATGTTTCCATTTAAAAAAACAAAGTTGACACTCTTAAAGGCATAATGGAAAAATTATTATATAGCTAATAATTCAAAAATAATGTTATTATAACAATTTTTTAATTATTTTTATTCTGTAGGCAATTAAGTGAATTATTATAAAAAAATCACTCAGTATATCATTGCTCTAAAATATATACAGAGTATTTCACAATGTATGATAAATGTAATAACTTTTGAAACTATTAATATTTTAAATTTAATCTTCACCATTAAAGATTAGTGTTACATTAAATAGTATTCTTGTCGAATATCTTATTATATTGAATAAAACAGAGTATTTAATTAATTAGTATTTTTCGACCCATGAACTAATACCAAAGAAATCTTTTAATAGTACTATTCAAACTTTTAAGTTCAATTACAAGCTATTATTCGAGCGTGGATAATTTTCATTGAAAAAGTTACACGCCTATTACCGATATTTAATATGAGAAAATTTCGATTTCTTGTTACCTTTTAAATGTATGATATCTTAAAAAAAATATATATAAAAATTTCAATTTTTCACAAACTTTAAAATGCTTTAGGAAATTTATTACTTAACATTAATAAGAGATTTCTTTATCAATTTTTCCTTAAAATCTACTCTACAAAATTAAAACAATTTTGAATTTTTTTTACATTTTTTATTTGTTAATAAATGGAATAAAAGGGAAGAAAAATAAGATAAAGTTGACATCCTTATAAAGTATAAGGGATGAACATACATTTTTTTTATGATTGATAAATTGAACTAAAAGATACTAGTAAAAAAATTATTAATATTATTTTTACTTTTCTATCAATTAAGTGGTTAATAATAAGTGAATTACTCTGTATATATATTAGATTGTCCTTTAATTTTGGTCATTTACAAAAAACCTTGTTTGCACAATTTTTGTTTTCATTGATGTGAAAAATTAGTTACAACTTTTCACACTTCTATCTTAATTTTAACCCGTGGCTGTATGCACTTGAAATTTGCTGTTTAAATAATGTGGATTGTTTTGAAATATTGTCCTGAATGTTGTAAAATATGAAACTTACGTCAATTAACGCAGAATTTTATGAAATTTACATAGAGAAGTTGAAATTTTGCTAAACTGTAATTTGTGCGTACATGTTGTTAAAATTCTTCAAGTTGTTAATATTTGTATGTAAAATTCAAGTTTTTTACCATAAATTTTTTATTATATCATACACATATGTAGTATTATACTCTACAACGTCGTATGCCAGTTGGTATACGTGATGCTATAAAAATGATCATAAGAAGTGGTGTACAAGTGTGAAATCGACTAATTCACTAGAATGAAAAATTGTTATTTTTGACGTTGAGTGCAAGTCAAAATTTTTAATTACTATTTTTGGCATAGGAAGGGTTAAATTAAAATAATGGATATAGCCCTTCATTATTAAGTAATAGTATTAAATGATTACCGAATATGAAGTATAAAACGTTTGTATTTGTATAATGAGAAACTCGAATGTTTTGTTAGCAGTTAAAAATAACAGATGAATGTGTACACATATCATATAACAATACTAGATCAACAAACAAATATCATACTGTTGTAATATGAAAATCAAAATATTAAAATATTGCAATCGTTTTGAGTATTATAGATAAATATTAATGATTTATATAAATACTATTGATTAATAAAGGTATTACATAAATTCTTTCGTTACTTAAATATTACAAAATTGGTAGTTGTTAAAACCTTTCATAATATTGAAATAACTATATAATAACCCATTTGTAATAAAATATACATATAATCTTAAATAATATAACTTATCGATATTTTGATACTACGCATTGTAAAATGAATAAAAAATATCATAGTCCTGATTTTCATCGTATTACGCGCATATGGATCGCCTGTGATTTTGTCCTTCGTATATGATCGGCGAAATACGACTATTGTCGAATGCACATTAACGACGCGCGTTTTTCGAATTGATAATTCTGATGTGATATCAATGATAGATATGATTTATAAGTAATAATTAATTAAACTAAATTACTTGATAACAATGTATTGTAAAGATATTTACAGTAAGCTTCATTGTGGATACTTATATTAGATACTATGTTTTTTATTTTTTGTAATTTTTACTATATTTTAATAATATAACAATGTAAATAATTTCGATTGTTTACATTGTCGATTAAATGTGTGCTATATAAACAAGTATACAGACTTGTTTTTTCGTGTTCTAACATTGAATTAACATCTCTTTTACTTGTTAATAACAATTCTTATTATTTGTAAGAAATTGTTTTGTTGTGAAATGATTTGTACCATCAAGTGTAATACAAGTCACTAGTAAATAAAACTGGTGCAATTTTTAATTTTAAAAAGGAGTAGTATTAATTTTATTAAAATCTATACTTAAATTATATAAACTATTTTACTTTGTAAAATACCGAACTGATGTTATAAGGGACTTGAAATTATTGTGGCATAATTCCCTAGAGTAATATAATAAAATTAGTCATTCTTATAACTTGATACATATACTTGTCGTTTTATTTCAATGTTATAACTTCTATATTTAAATTCATAGATCCAATTAATTTAATTAACAAGAAAAACTTTCAATGTTTTTATTGATTAATATTTAATGAACTCATTATAGCTCATAATATATTATTTAATTTTTTAATTAATTATAAAACTTGAAAATTTTATTAAATATAATGGAAACAAAAATAGGAGATGAACAAATTTCCTTATTTGAGACGTTGTTTAATTACTTACCAATTTTCGTTTACGCTCCTCAGCGTAAACAAACATTTATTATGACTCAACGTATTATTTGCAGCGGTCGACGTCTGCCGTGCGACACTTATTGGACTTTGCACTGTGGCGTATGACACACGATGTTTACCAGTTGAGCTACCAAGTATCAACTTTAGTAGGTTGACGGTTGATAAAGGTGGCGTGGGAGGGGCATCGTATATTACTAAGCGAAGTGGAACCGTGTCACTAGGAAGTTATTTCTTTATTAATTAATTCTATTAAAACATTAATTCTATTATAAATAGCATATAGATTCTAAATTTATTCACCTAAATTTAACCAATTTTGTATGGCTTATCATTGAAAGAAATCGGTTCTGTGAGAGCTGAGAAAAAGTGGTAAAAGACACAAAAAAAAAAAAAAAAAACATAGTAAAATTAATACCTTCTCAGCTTTGCATAGAAACTAAAAAAAATTTGTCCCGCCACCGTTTTTTCTATGAGGAAATGGCTATCGTATTTTTTATATAAAAATCACTGTTTAACATGAAATATTTTAATACTTAAAACTGCTATAATTTTCTGATAAATTAAAAATTAAAAATATTTCTTTTAGCTTCGATGAGAAGCTAAGAAGGTATTGGTTTTACTATAATGTGTTTTTTCTTTTGTGTCTATTACCACTTTTTCTCAGCTCTCACCGAACCGATTTCTTTCAATGATACGTCAAAATATCACATGCTATTTAACTACAGCTACCATTTGCACGTAGAAGATAATTTGTCGGGACTAATTTTTTAGTTTTGATGCGAAGCTGAAAAGGTATTAATTTTACTGTGGTGTTTTTTTTTTTATTATTTATTTATTTTATTGTTGTTGTCTGATAGCACTTTTTCTCTGCTCTCACTTAACCTATTTCTTTCAACAATACGCCAAAAGATCAGAAATCGTATCTAGTCAAAGACATTACCCTAAAAATTGAATAAATTTCCCTAGTTCCCCGTAAATGGTGAAAAATGGTTCCCCATTT